AACGTACTTCCCTTTCTAATAATTTCACTCGTTTCAGCGCAAAATTCCCAATCTCTCTTCTACTGCGAAAAAAAAGAACCTGCTTACTCTTCGACTCGTGGATCACCTTACAATGAAATCTAAAGCCTCATCACCGATAATTCCGTCGAATCAACGTTTCGACTCAACAGAAAACGCTTCGTAATCGAGAGTAAAAAGAATCGTCAGTCTATCTTACTATCTTGTGCAAATAGATAATATCAAATATAGTGAATATCAATCATATATTAACTGTATGAGATTCATGTAAGCCGACTAAGATTTAGTAAATCAATATAGAATAATTTTAACATGGTAGGCAATGTTACTAATATACGCGAGTACAGCCAATGTGCTATATAATAATAGAATATTTAAAACGATGCGTATACAATGACTCGTGAAAATATTCATACACTCCTGGAATTTTTTATGTACAGTATATATTTTACAAAATATTTTTAAATTTCATTAGTACTGTAACAATTATCCTGATTATATTGGTAAAATTTGAAACGGATCTTAAAATGCATGTATATAAAATTTACAAGATATTTATTGCACTTTGTAAAGATCATTAAAGTATTTGGATAGTACATTATTCGCTATGTTAAGAAGTCACAACCTGTAGTGAAACTATCTTTAGCACTAACTGCATATTTAAGACTATTATTCATACCGTATACTAACTTTTTACTGGGTGTATGTTCGCAGTTAAATGTCTTGTAACTTCTATATACATTTTCGGATCGGTTTCAAATTTTGCTATTGCAATGACAACAGGCATGACTCATGACGGTGGTAATGAAATGAAAAAAAATGTCATATATCACACATAATATATTCATAAAATAAATTCTGCGGTAGTTCGAATATTTTCGTGGGGCACTGTAATATATTCATACAAAAGCATAAAAAATATAAATAAAGATGAGAATTAGGACGACTTTATTAGCGTAGCTAATACCAAGCTGATTAAGACTGAGGACCAAGAAGTTATCAGCAGGAAAAAGCCTTGTTTCGTTTCTTCCTCCTTCCAAGCCTACTAATCGGTAGCGTAAAATGAATTTGCCTAGGCAACAGTTTATGGCACACGCGTCGATTGACCTACATTGTTGTGTCACAGGAAGAGATGCCTGGGACTGAATTACCGGAACACCAGCGAGGGCAACGGACGAGCGTGAGGGTGACTTAATTAGCCAATTATTGTCATCGTGTATGGTACAGACGGTGGGGACAGGAGGCACAGAGTTCTGGCCACCTATACAGGTTCAACCTTTAACGACCGCCCGTTGTTACATTCGGCCCAGCTAAATTCAGGACAAAGCCGCGTAGACGTCAGCTTTATCCTTGAACTGCAACCGTCCGTTCAAATTTTCCACAAAGTGAAGCCTTCGTTAGTCGTATCTCTGCCCTTTGAAACTAGCCAATAAAGTATTTCACGCCTTCGCGCCATTTCTATGGACGTGCATATTTATACACATTTACGTTAGACGCGGACCAGATGCAGAGATATAACGTGACAGATGTTTGCAACGGAAGGCTTATGGAAATAATTGAATTCTATTTAAGGTAATGTATTTTTTTTCACTACAATATTTAAGAATTAAACAGGCGAAGATTATGTTTCTAAGAATTTTTTAAATATTTCTTTTTATCGATTAGAACGTTGAAATGTTGAGTACATTGCGTTCTCAAAAAAGACTGTTAAAAATTGAATTTATCAAAAGAGGAATAGTATTTTCCTTGATGAATTAAAATTTATCAAATGTAGGATTTATAAATTAATAAGGAATCTAGATTATTAACATATTAAATATTGTTTTGTTTTTAATAATATTTTTCTTCGAATAATAACTTTGATCTTGAAAATAGAAAATGATAATTTAGATTCTCTTCTCTCTTCTCTCTCTCTCTCTCTCTCTCTCTCTCGTATTTCTTTTTTTACATCATGTCCTCGAATGAGGTCGTTAACGTCATCACAGCGGTCATTGATTTCGCAGCGGTGACATTACGCAATTCGACAATTATATATTTCTAGTGGTACAGTGCACACGTAAAAAATGAAGACATGGTTTATTATGAGTTTCTTCTGTTATCTTCGATCCTTATCAAGTGATATACACAAGCGTACGATCTCGTTATTACAAATATAAATCTGCATAGTGTCATCGACGTGACACCACCGCGATGTCGTATCGGTCATCTGCATCCAGGTCTTAAGAGACGCTGCACCAGATGGTTGCGTGGAAATTCGAAACAGATGTCGGACGGAAATTGTATTCCGGATTGGTGAGAAAGTTCGAGGAAACTCGATGTCCTTCGAGATCCTTGTTAGGCACCGATATTGACAAACACGTGGTTGCTTGCAATCTCCTGACCCCGAGACTAATACCTGCCTATCGTGAAACGTTAATGGCTATCATATTCCGGTTGGCAGCGAGAGGCAAATTGTACGCCACCGGTCGAAGATCCACAGGGAAATTACGTTTTTCCAAGCGCAACGTGTATGGATCACTTTGTGTACGGAGATACGGAACATGCCTCGATGAACAGACCTCTTATTACACTTGATTTCCTTTCAGGAAGACTCTATAAATAAACAAGACGCGTTGCAACTATGTTAAGTAACGTTGCACGCTCGAGTTTTAATGAGAATTTAGGTTTCCCGTGATGGTAGAGCGATGATGCAAATGGTGTTACCTCTATTGGAAAGTATCGATGTTTTATCGTTATGCCTGGTGTTAAGAATAGAACGCTTAATTATTATTCTGTTTGCCGTGGAAGGTAGAACAGCATTCAGGGTAGAAATTGTATAAATTTGCAAGTTAAATGAAAGGTAAATATAGGTCTTCTTTCGAAGGTCTTCCTTGACCATAATAAAGAACATCTGAATGTCTATTCGAAATAATCGTATGTATGGTTGTCTGCATAGTCAATTGCATTTATATTACATCATGTTGATTATTTAATAATATGTTTCTCTCAGTAATTCAGCCTCAAAGACTAGGACTATTAGATTATTAGATATAATATTACAGCTACAATAGAAACAACCGATTTGAGTATATTTACTCAACAACATTTTACTCTAACATCTTATTACAAACGTGTAAAATAGAGATCTAAATATGATAAAACAAGCTATGTTGATTATATCAAGATAACGCGATCTTGTTATTATTATTCTTACTCCTACGCAAATTGGATGGTTTAGAATTTATATTTCGATTTTTCTACGATGCTTTCCCTTGTATTACATTATTTTGATTTTTCATGAGCTTCATATTGAAAAGAAATAATAATAAATCCACCAAAAAATAAAAATGGGGAATATAATAATTACGTTGTATTTTCCATTACTTACATGTTTCTTATAATGCTTCTTAGTATTCGTATTTTATACTACTTGAATATTTTATACAAACTATTCCAAATAAAAATGAAAATAAAAATGGCAAAATAAAAAAGGTGGCAATTACAATCCACTCTACTTTACTCCCACCATCTCATAATGTTTTATTTATAATTTCTATACTATTCAAACGTTTTATAAATGTTTTATCAAATGAAAATGGAAATAAATCGCAGGAAGTGAATATTACAAAGTGTAACAATCACGTCGTATTTCCTTTCCACAATTTTTTTCCACTATTCTTCAGGTTTTTGGGCCACTTAGATATTTTGTGTAAAAACGAGTCGTAGGAAACAGAAGTAGCGCAGTGTAACAATTACGCTTTAATTAAGCAATTACACGCCAAATTCGTTTCGAAAGTACACTAGAACGAGGTAAGCAGACGATACTTTTAACAAGCAACGTGCCAGCTGTTTTTAGCTACATGTACATACTTCCTCCTGTGAATTCTGAGATGCATTGTATTCACTCGAGTTGACCTATTTTCGTTCGCATCACCTATTGGCGAAGATACTTTTCTATTGTAATCTTGTTTCGAGAAACGAGAGGGAAACCCGAAGATATTCGCGTTCGTGGAATGATACGAAATAACAGGCAGTCTATTGTATTAACGACATCCACAGACATTCTATTCTATTAAATGCTGTGGACTGTTATAATCATCGTTGACATTTTTTAAGAGATATACAGGGTGGTTGGTAACTAGTTGTACAAGCGGAAAGGGGGTGATTCTACGCGAAAAAAGAAGTCGAAAATACAGAATAAAAATTTTTTTTTAATTCTTTATTTTTTTTTTATTTTTTTTTTTAAATCTACAGTGAGATCCGTTATAACGAGACGTGATAAAGTGCACGCGTACCGAGCGAAAATTCAAAGTCGATTTTCTCGAAAACAAAGCCTCAAACGAAAAATTTTTATTCTATATTTTCGACTTCTTTTTTCGCGTAGAATCACCCCCTTTCCGCTTGTACCACCAGTTACCAATCACCCTGTATATAATATGAAGAGCAGAGTAAAAAATATGATAAGTACATTTGTTGATTTTTTTACCTTAACGTCATTTTTTGATATTACATTGATTTTAAAACTTGTCAAACTTTTGGCAAAGAAATTTCGAAAAAATTTTTATCTTAGCTTATAAGAACTACAAAAATATTTTCTGTTTACTTATATACATTCGTGACTTTGGAGCTTTTACTTTCATCCTACTTTTAAATAGCATTCAAGAAAGATGCTCCATAGTGAATTTCTTCTTAAACAGATTCTTACCAAGTTAATAATATCTACCAATTATGATATAGCAGTTGATAATGTTATAAAAAGAATCTCTTTAAATTTGCCAAGAATCTCTTTTTAAAACAACGTTTCAAACATGCAATACTCACGTTCCCTATTAAAATTCCAAGCTGAAATGTTCCTTTTTTTTTAAGAACAATGAATTCTAAAACAACGACGTTACATCAGGCCACAACAATTAAACTACAAAAGAAACGATAAAGAAAAAAAAGTTTTCATTGCATAAAGTCTCTTTACATCCAAGGCAACTTTCTACGATTAGCATTTGTACCTGCGAAAAATCGGCTGTTAACATTCCCTGCAATCTGAAAGAAAAAAAAACGGACGAAACAAGTCCAGAATTTTTCCTTCTGATATATCGGTCACGGTGAAGTGTAGTGCAATTTATAAATGAAAAGTTTTCCAATACAGCCGCGGTATTGATGGTGTTAGCAATGACCTTGGCGATGAAGAGGAGGAGAAAGGACGTGGATGATGTTCGACATATCGGTTTTGCTGTCACCAATTTCCGGCTTCGTTCGATGAGATATCGGACACGGTGATCGTGGAAAATACAAGTTTTGTTGACGGCATTGCGCTATTGATAGGTATACCAAATCGTTCATTCATTGACAACACATTCATTCTCTCTCCCACGTTTCTCTCTTCCCACACGGCCAGATTTATCTGTCGAGTCTAGTCCTTCTTGATCTTTGTTGCTTAACTGTTATTAATTTACCACACATTCAGAGATTTCTGTTACGTGTACCAACAACTGTACGTGTTGATAGAATAACGGCGAGCCTCATAGTTCAACTTATAACTGGTGAGATATGTCGTATCAGATACTACCAATTTTGATTTTTGCCGTAATTTAAAAAAATGCATGTCTGCCATGAGGTATTGTACGTGTGAGTCTGTTATTTAATGTAACTGAATTAAAGTATAAATAAAATTAAGCGATAAGTAGGCTGCGGATTTTTATGCATTTATAGGAAATTTAAAAGTGCAAAAATACATAGCATATAACATATGCTATGAATGCATATAACATGCAAAAACATACAAAATATTCAAAGTAGAATATTTATTATGATATTTAGAGAATGAGAGCGTATTTTGGTTCCATCTTTTCAATCGTATCCATAAAAATATAAAATTGCAGAAACAATCCGTAGTTTAGTGATAATATAAACAATAACATACAAGCATGAATGTTATATTTACACGAATATTTTATTTCCCTGTTACGAAAATTTGCTCTCTGAAGCATACTGATCGTTGTTCCATTTCAAATTCATCGATTAATTCACCAGACGGGGCTTAAATAAAAAGCAGAGCAGCCGATATAAGAATGGATCAGCGTTCTCAATCTAGTTCATAACCAAGTATAATAGTAGCCGGTTGCAACATACTGGAAAGCGGTACAAACGGAAATTTCTAAGACGATTCACGTCGATTCGAGGACGCGATCGACAAAGAGGAGAACATAAATTCGAGAGCCACAGTTTCGAAATAACACTTTGCATCTCCACTTGGGATTGTTGCTATTCGAACAAAAGATAAATCGTGCTATTCCTTAGGGGGATATAAAACATTGAGAAACCTCTTTGCCAAAGAAAACAATACGTTCTCGTTTTCTTTTCTCCCTTCTTTTTCCTTAGAGGGTGATATAGAAACATAATTGAAATTTACCGTGGTGAATCTTCAGGATTCTCTGTTCTTTTTAGCTAGATTAAATACGAATCGTTTAAAGTAATCCAGATCTCCAAACAGATAGAGAAAAGAATCGTAAAAATGAAACTTTATCTCGGTTAGAAACATTATCAGAACCACCAAACGAAGAACAAAAATATCTTTTTTTTTCAAGAAACAACCAGGCCATTCTCGAAATTGGAAATTATATTCTAAAGATTTGATCAAATATTTTAATAAAATATCGTTTAATCTTTTAACGAACTGAATCTCTGAACCGAATCATTCCAAATATAATAAAATAAATAAAATAAAATAATAATAAAATAAAATAAATAAAAAAAAACAAATAAAAAGGAATACTCTACTTTGATTATTTTGTACATTCTGTATATTTTTGCACCATAAAATTTTTCATAAATGCATAAACATCCACAATAATAAAAACGAATACAGTACAAAGATTGTTTTTCATATAAAAATCATAAACACGAAGTATTTTCAACCAATGAATTAGTTTCATCCAATTATTACTGGGTTATTAGCAAGCAATTTTAGTATAAACTCATTTCCTTTAATTGTAAAGCTATTGATTATCTCTTTTGGATAGATCTCAAAAGCATCGTGTGTAAATGCATTATCTATGGGTTATAAATTTCTCAGATCAGTAGGTTAATGGTTATCAGTTGATCATAGAAGAAATTTATACTTCCTCTATCAGAAAACTTCTTGTACCAACAGATAAAATAATACAAAATGAGACCGAGTAACTATTAGAACAGATACATTACTTTCGAATAAAGTTACAATGCTTCGAAGACGATAATGAACATCATTTTATCTAATTAAATACGTTTACAACTGTTCTTTAAAAAATGTCTGTAAATGCACGACCCTGTGTTACAAAAAAAAAAATGATATATGTATTTGAAAATAAAATTCATCGTGCCGCTCTAACAATATTAAGAAATAAAACTTTTTGCTAAAGTAAAATATCTATTAGGTACATTTAGATTTTTTCAAATGATCAAAGGGCGGTTGAAACGTCGACAAAAAGAAAATGATAGTGTGATTGTAGCAACCAGCTTCTGTGACACAAATATATATTCATTAAAATATCATAAAAATCTTTCCAGGACGAATCTTTAAAAAAATCGTAAACAATTCTGTCATAACAAAAAGCTAACATAAAATTTGAAAATAAAATTCTTCCCGTACCTCTGACAATATTACAAAGCAAATTTTCATATTCAATATATTTCAATACATTAGTTATTATAATAGATTTTCTTAAATAATTCAAGAACGACAGTAATTAAAAAAGGAAGCAACTATCAAATTGTCTGAATCGCCTAGTACAACACGTTTGCTTTTTTGCCATTGAAACTTTTCCTTTCCTCCGCTGGAAAAGCAACTTTCAATTTTTTGTGCTTCGCGATTTCGCTTTCACAAATTTGCATCATACATACATGTCGATGCGCCTACGTTCAACGAACACGGAAAGATATGGCGATATCGAGCTTTAGGCGTACTAGCAACACTTTACCGCGCGACAGTTTTCTCACTCTCGTTCGCATCAATCAAAAACTCCATTTCTTCTTCTTCTAATAACGAAAATGTCCTGCAGTCGTGTCGTCAATTGCACGCACATCCACATAAACGGATGTCCTTTCTGTAAACGACAAACCGTCCCTAGTGTGCTCATAGCCTAAGGATGCACATTTTGTTTCAGTTTTGCATGTAAATAAACAGACCCGTGCTAAACTGTGGATCGATACTCACCACTTTCTCAGGCCGCTCTGCCGGCCTGTTATTTCCATCTCGCTTTTGACATTGAATTCACGTCATGTACCGTGAGGAACAAAAGAAGATAAGACCGGTATCACCGTGCTGGCACAACGTAGGAAACGTGAGTTCCAAATGTAGTTGAATGCAACGAGCTCCGAGGATCAGCACAAGAAATAGAGAGATGCAACAATTGTTTGTGATGCTACATGTTTGCAAATTGTTGGTCATAGTCGCAAGAAGAAACTGAGATCGGTATTTTAAAACTAATATTTTATGCATTTGAAGATGTTGAGGTTGTATACCAGCATTCGTAAGTGTCTAGACACCTATGGTCGATTAATAATAATATTATTTGAATTTAAGTAAAATAAATAGTTCAAGGATGAGTTAGTAATTAGAAACAGATGACTATCGTACTATCATTCAGTTTATTACTATTTTTTACTACTATTTTTTGAGAAATTTCTAATCTTGTAAGAAGGAAGGTGGTGCAAGGATTCTCCGCAACACTTCAAATTTCCAAATTGTTGGTCATAGTTGCAAGAAGAAATTGAAATTGGTATTTTGAAACTAATATTTTGTACATCTTTGAAGATATTCCTATTTCTAACGTTTGTAAATTTATAATAATAGTATTTGAATTTGAGTAGTGATAAAATAATTTATACAGACTGGCAATTACAAGCTGCAATTTTGTTATTGCATATTGGCTTAAATAATTTTTATTGTATCATAACAGCTTATTATAAGCCTACTGTAAGTAGGTGTGATAGTTCTGAAGAGTAATATCGAGTTTATAAATTGTTTAAAAGTAAGAAAAATAATAGCTCTTACACGACAAGAAGGAACTGTTGTAAATTGTATTACATATTGCAGGAAAGAAACGCAAGGCGAGAACACTTATTCGAATGCAATGAACTTCAAGGTAGTCTGGACAACCTAGAAATAGGAAAAAGAAACGACACCCAAGACTTCAAATAATGTTAGAGAACTGGTATGGAAAGGATCTACAATTCCAGAAATTTGTTAATCCTTTCTTTAACACTCTCTCGTATTATTTTCATTGCAGATAACCGATATGATAAGGAAATTTTATCTTCGTCCGTGTTATACTCACTTATTATGCGCTTAGTAATAAAAGAATAGTGCAATTTCTTTGTAGAGTCATAATAAAAAGTTAAATAAACGAAGCCAGTTCCCAAAAAATGATACAATTTACGTATTTTGTGTTATAAAAAATACCATACACGGTGTAAATCAGGATTTTGAAAATACTAATTTATTATACACACGTGTACAACCTCTTGAAAGTGTCATTCCTTTGTGTATTGAACAAAAAGTTGTGAATTTTCCATGAAGTACAGAATACTATTTTATAAGTACTAACAATAAACTGATTTACGTTAATGTGATTTTCAACTAATCATACGATAAGCATATAAACTTAACAGGAGGATTACATTCTACAGTTTGTTTTTCTTTTATCGAATACGAACTGTTTCATCTTCTTATCACAGTTGCGTATACGTAAGCCTTCTTTTCCTTTCACTACATTTACACAGTGATACTAAAATTCTACAAACTCAGCTACCTTAGTATAATTAAATTTCTGCTGTGCCGTTGTTAATTTTTAATATGAAAACCGTACTCTTTCTAAGAAAAGTATAAAATATTGAACTCTAAGTTTAATATGAAAAACGCCATGAAATAGTCGTGTCAACATCTCATAGTAGGAAGGAAAGTGAAATCTCGTTTTGGTTTTCCAAACACTTCACGCTGTTAAAATACTGCCTCGACTCGCACTAGCCTACCTGACCGTATCTCCTCTGTTTTCGAAACGCTC